CTTTAGAAGGTGAAGAAGCACCTTCAAAGGAAGAATGGCGCAAGTGGGAGGATGTCAACAACCTCAAGGCTAAGAAGGGAGCCGCTGCAGATGCAAATGGGGCTCCAGCTCAAGAAGAAATTGAAGGAGTGCCCTCGAAGGGAGAATGGAGCAAGTCGGAGGATGCTGACAATCTTCATGGCCAGCCATGGCAAGCTCAGTGGGATGCCTATGCCATTGGACAAGGCCGAGTGCCATCCGAGAGTGGGTGGGTTGTTGGTATCAAAGACCCTGAGAAGTTCCTCTTCCGTGAGGCGAAGCAAAGTTCCTTTGCCATGGGAGTTGCTCCCCGCAGTGTCAATTTCTTGGCAATATTCTGTGGCCTACAGGCGCTACAGGTGTTGGTGCGCTAAGGTTTGATTGAGAAGCGGTCGATACTCCTATGTTGAACATGGATAGAGCCGCTTAGGGCAGTTTCAATGAGCAAAGCAGCTCCAGCTGAGCCTTATAATTCGTTCCGCAGCTTTTGAGCAAACACTTTTACTTCTGAATTGGCCTTCCAAGCTGTTGGCTTTCGAGATTGTTTTGACAGCTCAATCTTCACATGTGCTAGATGCGCCACCGCTGATGTACAGAGGGTGGTTGTGCTTCTGGTCGCAACCTTCAACGCTGAAGGCAAAGACAGGCAAGCGCGCTGACATGCGCTCCCCCACCGGGCCAACGTGTGAAAAGATCGTGCGGTTCGTTTGGCGTTCTCACCCAGCCCTCTGAGTCACATGTTGTTGTCCAGATCAAGCAGCCGGGCTGCCCGAAATGAGAGCGTTTCAGACTCCGATGCACGGAGCGATGATGTTCCGTCGACGGCACCAAATTTGGAATGAATCCTGTTCTGAACCTGGTTTTTTGAGGTTTGCTCATCACGTTCCTATTTCATGTGCCTAGTTCATGTGCCGTCAGCCTTTGGTTTTTCAACACGCTACGACCTCAGGCCACGCTATGGTTTTAAACCTGACGCAGGATGCTCAGAGACCGTCAGTTGCGCCCACGTTCAGTGCGTTGTTGTTGTTCTGTTTTTTCTTTGTTCCACCCCTCAAGAATTCTGGGAGACTGAGGTGACTATCTGGTTGACTATCTAGCCATCAGATTCTGATATGATTTTTATCCATGGGTTGTATCTAGACGTTGAGTCTGGCCTATTCCCAGTCCTTTTTTCAGTCTGGCCTGCAACTGAACCATTCTCATCCGCTGGCCCTGGTAATCAACCCAACCTAGACGGTATTTCTGATGCGGTTTTTCCTTGAGCCATACTCAATGCCACTGCCACCCTTGCTCTCCCCACTCCGTGGGACATCGTTTCATGGCTCAAGAAGTGCGAAACTGATCTGTGCTTGATTGGACCATGCGTTTGTCTTGCCAAGAAGTTTGACTCTGTAGGCAGTTTTAGGTCAAAACTGTTTTTTTGAATAATTACAATGATGCCGCGCCATTCCAGTTGTAACCAGGTGCCTTCCATTTTGTAAGTGGGTCTTAGGTATGAGGATTACCACGCATGTCTTCTTAGAAACAGCTGGTCTTCGTTGTCTTATCGTTTTTCGCGAACGCGCCAAGGCCGAGGGGTTGGCCGAGATGAAGCAGGTCGTTGCCACGATGTCAAAGACTGACACAGAGGCGATGCGTGGATCCAAACGACCAGGACCTTCCACCAAGTCCGGAGGTTTTGGGACACCTCTTAACTTAACCTCTAAGAGGCGATGCATAGACACCTCTTGGTGAGGCTAGTCCTGGCACATGACATGTCGGACCTGGCCGTCTTCTGATTCTGTCAGGAGTCAACTCAGGTGTTCTTAAACATGGAAAAGGTCAGTGGTCTCGGTCTTTTCATGCGCTCTGACCTGGCGAGAATGAAGTGAAGAGCCAGTTGAATGAAAGGCCGGGAGAGATGAACATGGAACCTGGCTGGACCTTTTGAAAGACGTAGTTTCTATAGAAACTACAGTGGTTTTCAGGTTCCATGCGGGTCTCTTCCACCAGGGTGGTAAGAAACTACTTCGGGTCTGAAACGCCCCATGTTCTGCCCTGTTCACCTGCCTTCGGACTGAGCCGCTTCGCTCTCCAGAAGGGCCTCCGACGAACGGACGACCCATAAGACGACCCGACCGATGGCACCGGATCCCACGTTACACGAACGAAAACACACCAGGAGTCAGCTAAGGGATGGTGGACATCGTCCCATCCAGTGGTTGGGAAACCCCCCTTGCCTCCGGTTCGTTCGGCACCCCGTCGAGTTCGTGACCTGGCATGCGTCCACACCCATCTCCGGAAGGTTCGGGGTCTATGTCCCGAACCTTCCAGCGGGTTCGGGTTCCGCCTGCGGTTCGGTCTTCCTATTTCACATCGCCAATCGTACCCAGATTGACAGAGCGCTGATCACAGCCAGTGGAAACCACTTCCGAAAGGTGTGAATTTTTGGCCTGTTAGAGGTAAAGGGGTCTCCAGGAACGCGGGCCCTGGCATTGACCAATATAGGCCAAGATTCCATCAATCAAGAGTCTACATCAAAAAGATGTTCTGGGATTGAATCGAGCAGGTCCATTGACTCCTGTGGACGGTGGGTCGTTTAAACAGGACCAGTTTGCACAGCAAACTAGCGAACAAATTCTCCTCCCCCCTTTGCAAAGGCAATTGACCCCTCCCTGAAACCATCCCTGGCGACGCGAACCACACCTTGTTTGGAACCATGGGACCATGGTCCTCCAATGAGGACGTTTCAGGCAATTTAATCAAACAAACCTCCTTAAAAAGCGTGCTGGTCGCAGTCTATGTCTACCTTGAACCTGAAATTGACCTCTGTTTTGGAGCCAAAACATTGAATGGTCAAATGGGTTCTAGGTACATTTTTACATGTTGTGCATATCTTTACCAGCTCATCGTGACCCCGTGACCCCCTTTGTGCGAGGTCCGTCGGACACAAATGCAGATCACAGCAGCAGCCGGTTACCCAGGAAGACGGTGCTGCTTGAGGTCTGAGATGCTACAGCCAACCTCCAGAACCTTAATTTGTCCTAGTTTTTGGAAGGAGAGAGGGCGAAGTGGATTTCAAGGAAAACTGAAGGGGACATGTTGGCGTTGGGTTGTTCTATGCGTTTCTACAGAGTTGCTTTTGGGTTCCAAATGACAGGGTACAGAATATTCTGGTGATGAACCTGTTCATCGCCCAAACGTGCTTAACCAGATGGCCAGATGAGTTACCTAAAGGCCTGGCACTTAAAGGCCTTGGTGCTGAGAGGAAATTGGACGAGAGAATTTGCATGGCGAGTCCAAGAGGTTCGACTCGATGGGAGTCCATATAAATCACCGAACTTGGGATCCTTTTGGGGTGGAGCTCTTACCTTCTGGGAAGTTGCTCCTACTTTTGGGATCCTTTTGGGGATTGTGCCATCTACTCTGAAATCACTGATCTACAGGTTCGGAGATCAGTGATGGGTACTCCCCTGTAGAGGACCGCATGGAAACCTCAAAGCCGGTTCTAGAGGAAAAAGGTCGAAACCACGGGTCAATTCTCAGGTTCCATGTTAGTTTGCCGGGGGTAATTACATGTAAGTACTATGCATATACTATTAATCAATGCTATCTTGCAGGTTCACAGATGGTACGATCACTTTTCTTGACCCTTCACAGTTGCGCTCTTAAACCCAAACAGCCCCATCTTGGTGATTTATGGTATTCACTAGTGTTGTGAGTTTGAGGTAGGCCACAAAAATATGAATTTAAGTTATTTTCTTTTATGATTTTGTTATGTTTTTTTTTACGTTTTCCTTATGATTTGGTTACGATTGACTTTATGAAATTTTATGACTTTTTGGTGGGTTTGTTTTTTGGATATGATTTGCTTATGGTTTCGTTATGCTCTTTGAGGTCTGCAATTTCACATATACGGAGCCTTTTGGGTTGCAAAACATGGTAGTTGAGATGTGTGTTCAGCCAAACTTGTGGTGTATTTTCACAAGATTTCCTCTGCTACAAAGAAAGAAAATACATTTTTCAGAAAAACATGGTAAACTGCGAAAATCTTTGTTGCTCTGCAAGTCTCTTGGTCCGTTTTCTGGTTGGTTTTTATGCAACTAAAAACTACTCAGGAATAGAATAGTCTCTATTGTATGATGGGTTTTGAGAACTAACTAGTGACTAGTGACTAGTGTTCCCAAAGGAACCTCTTCACTAATGAAGGCAGAGAGGAGTTGGCCTTCATACATGAGTTCCCACCTTTCCTAGGACAGCGCACCTCTGGGTCTAGTACACACCTTGGCCTAGGGCCTAGGACAGTAGGTTCTATACTAGGCCCTAGGCCCTAAACTACCCATCCACCCATGGCCTGGGACCTGGGAACTGCCAGCAATCCATATCTCAGAACCATTGGTCGTCTGAAAGCATAACAAAAACATAAGAAATCCATAAGGCCCTGCATAACAAAAGCATATCAAAATCATATCAAAATCATAAAAACATGGGTCTGGGAATTAGTTTTGTGATTTTGTTATGATTTTGATATGATTTTGTTTATGATTTTGTTATGGTTTTGATATGGTGGGCTGCAGGTGGTCTCACCCTGCCTGGGTCACTTCAAAAATTTGACGCTTGAGGTTTAGGGTTTAGGGTTCAGGCTTTAACCTTTGGCCTAGGGCCTAGGACACGCCTGGGGGAGTACACCTTTCCTTCGGGTCACTAGGACAGTACACCTTTCCTTCTCTACTACACACATTTCCTTCGGGTCCTAGGCAGAAGGATTTGTAAGGCAATAGCTCAATAGCTACTAATAAGCTAATCAACAGAAAGGACGCCAAGCGTCCCTACGTTGCTTGGGCATGAGCATTGGGGTGCCTCCTTGGAATGTTCAACAACTTCCCTTTGCTGGTGAAGCTTACTTACTTAGTTTCTTAACCAAACCACTATTTTTCAAGTATGCAAACATATTCGCACCATATTTTCACAACTATATGGCGATCTTTTAGAAGTACTCAAAAAACACTCTCAAACCATATCTTTTTCATAATACTTTTTTGGTGGCAGTTTAAAACCATAAGAAAATCATAAACATTTTCATATCAAATTCAAGGGCTCCTTAACACGCATAAAGAACACCATAAAAAAACATAACCCACAGTGTATCAAAATCATAACAAAATCATAACAAAATCATAAAAGAAAATAATCAATGAAAATTTTTTTGGCACTAACCTCCAACTCACAACACTAGTGAACCACGGGTCAGGCGAAGCCTCATCAGCATGAGCAGGGGAATGTACGGAGCGGTGCATGTGAGCGGCCCAATGTTTGAAGAACCTGACGGTCCTGGACCACCGAGCGGTTCCGAAACCTCCATGGAACCTGAAAACCACGTCGGATTGTAGAAGATTGGATCGTCTTCCAGTCCTGGTGGTTGCGGGTTCCTACGGTTCCTGGCTTGGCCGGTCACCCGTTTTTTTTCCGTTTCAACAGCGAGGGCGCGCTGCTCGACCCACAGAGCCCACGGATGGAATGGGAATGGAATGGGGTAGAGGACGTGGAGCACCCAATGGGGTACGGGTAGATGAAAGGACCAGGTACCCCAGGTGGATGATGTGGATGATATGAAGCTCCTCATCCCTGGGGTATCAGGTACAGGATGCCAGTCTGGTGGATGAAAGGACCCAGAAACCTCGATTCTGTTCACTCCAAAAATGGCGCAACCGGGTGGCCGGCCAACCCACATGGAACTGGGCGACCGGGCAACCACCAGACTGGAAGACGGCTTTTCCTCTACAATCCGACGTGGATTGGACACACCCATTGTATCGTTATGTTGGATATTGAAAGTGAATGTATTCTCGCTTTGGGGGGACCACTATAGATAAACGATGATAAGTGCTAAAACTTCTTTGTAAAGGCATGTGAAGAAGGCTTGAGACTCTGAGCAACTGAGGTCATGAAGAAGTTCAAACTTTGAGAGAGCTTGCGCATGCAAACGCGCTGACCGTGCGTTGGCGTTTCGCCGCCTGTGCCAAGCATGAAGTCTTGGTGAAAAAAAAAGAACACACAAAACTGGCGACGACGTCGTGGTGCATGATCAGTCCAACGATCTGATGTTTCAGTTCCAACCACCATCTCAGAGTTTCAATCCCCCAAAAAGGAACTCCATTGACTTCCTTAGAGTCGAGTCAAAAAACACACGATTTCTGGTGTGATGACGACTGGTTTAACCGGTTTCTTGAGACGAACACGTCGGCTTCGAATCTGAAGACACGAGATCTTGACCCGTCAGGGACGAACCCCCACGTCGCCCTACAACCCTTGCGCAGGTTACGAGCCCTACAACTTGCCGATGGGAGGCCTTCACTTCCTGGGTTGGCTGGGTGATGCTGGGAGATGGTTGAAGAGCTCTATAGCCGCATAGCCCAGAGCAGATCCCATTGGATTGGGTGAATTGGCTGGGGGAAATGGCGGCTGCGGCTTTTTCCACTGCAGTGGGCCCGAAGTATGGCTCAATCGTGGTCGAAACAGAAGAACCACCACCCTCGGCCATGCGGAACCTGAGCAAGAGAGGACCCAGTTGGTCTCACTCCTTTGTGGCTTTTGCAGGCAGACTGTACCCTTTGACTCACTCACATGGAAGTGGATGGCACCACCACCTGTTTGTAGAGGAACTTCGGTCGTCCCAGTGGCCATTTTCGCCATGTGACGTGTTGAGTCAGAGCGTAGCCCCAACAAACGCGGCTATTGGAGGAAGAAGCCCATCGGCGAATGAAGAAATGAAGACCCCCCCACACGTTGGGTCCCTTTCCCGACGTGAGCTGCGAGCTGCGAGCGGCACCCAGCCATAATTTGTTTGAGATCACAAGCTAATGGCTGACGTCGAACCACCATGTTTGGAAATTGGAACCCAAAGTTTTCATACCTAGAGCCCATTTGTGTGACCTCCATTTTGGACCACCAACCATACCGTAACCAAATGTGGTCTTTTTAAGTATTTTTCATGTCTTTTTCGTGGTAATGTTTTACATCCTCTAGGTCACGCGAAAACCTCGACTCAAAGCTGCGTGGATCGCCTTTGCTTCAGGATATCCCCAGCCCATGGAAACGACGCCGGGCTCTAAGACATGTGTGGAACGAAAAGAGTTGACTTCCAAGTGTTTTTATATCCAAAAACTCAGCCGAAGAGACAATCAAAGGATTGGAGTGGTTGGAGTCTCCTTCATCCGTTCACCCAAAAAACAGCTTGCACATCTACTAGCAGCCTAGCTCTTTTGCACGTTGGGCTCTAATAAGCAGCTCTCCAGATGTGATCTGAAAGCAACCCCAGATTTTTGCAGATCCGAGGCCAGCACATGCGTCACTCAGCCTTGCTTTGATGACAGGGATGACAGGGATGACAGGGACATCACAACTCAGAGGACTCGGATAATTCTCTAGTCTATTTCCATTGTAATCATCATCAAACGAGTGGGGAGGCAGCTCCGCAAACTCACATGGACCCGGGGTGGGACCGGCACCCTCAGTCAGACGGTGTTCCTTCACAAGCCAGTGGTTGGAGAAGGGTCCGTGTGAGTTTTCAGCGGGTTATACAGGGTAACAATTCCTGATATAGTTACTATTTCATTTTGCATGCTTTTCGTTGGTCAATGATTTTTGGGGATTGGGGACACCCCACTAAATATGGACCGATGGAAAAAGGTTAAACGGTTAACCCTTTTCTTCAGTTGATGTTTTTTTGTTCATCTCCATGCTGTCAGACGCCTCAATACGACAGACGCCCCACATGCAGTTTTGCTCAAGGCTCTCGATTTGTTTTGGATCTTGGATCACTTCTTGTTGTGGGTCATGGCAGCCCCTGGCACACCTCCAGCCCCTGAGTCCCAGGAATTCAGGGACCTGGTCTCTTCGAAAACCAAGGCTGCGGTCCTGAGTCGTCTTCCAAATGTGTCTCGACATTTGGTGTTTCTGGCCTGCAAATGGATCATGGAGAGCTTTGCCTTCGGCGGCAGTGACTTGACGCCCTCCAGCTTGTCCTTGGTGCTGGCGAAGACTCATGCATATCGACGGCGTGGGTCGAAAGACACCAAGAAGTGGCTCAAGGAGATCCTACGAACCATGCACGAGGAGCCTGGCATTCGATCAGGCACCCACTACATGGGGCAGCTCACCCTGACGCAGAGTGGAAAGCCAAGCGTCACAGGCAACAAGAATCTCCCATTGACCAAGCAGGGAGCTTTTGTCCTCCTGCAAAGGTTGATGCCTGATCGTGACCGAGTGGACTTCTCCAACATCATGTGGGAGGCGATGAGGTACATGTATGGAGCCTACTCCGCGCTGAAAGCTGAGTATGATGACTACAAGGCTGACAAAGACCAAGGAATGGCGCAGCAACGAAATGCTGCAGATGCTTTGCTCAATGTCGCCAGCGCAACATTGAACGTGAGCAAGCAGGTTGCGAACCGGAAGATCATGCAAAAGGCATACAAAGAAGGGAGGAGGTGCATGTTGAGAGGGCAACACCCCAAACAGGCCATGATCAAAGCCAACCTCGCAAGGCGTGGTCAGAGAATCCCTGCCATCCACCACTGTTTCACGCCATTGGGGGCCTCTGCCGATGCGTTTCGCACCCTGGCAATGGCGACCGTGCTGAGCCACGCCCAGCCTGCCATTGCCGAGTTGCACGGTCCCAGGGCGAAGAAGAGGAAGATGGATGAGACCTTTGACACCGTCACCAACCACTTCCTGCGGAACAAGACTTTCGAGCTTCCACTCCTCAGTGAGACCGAACAAACCAAGGCATACTTTGAGAGCCAACACCAAGTAGCAAGGAGGGCCTGACGGATGCGGCGGCTGGCGGAGTCATTGAACTTTTTGCAGCATGTGCAGTAAGCGGCAGATGGTTCACCAACTCACTAGGCGCCGGTCGTGTTTGTCCTACTAGCCTGCTGCAACAAGAGTTGCTTGTACAGGTTCACTCGCAACCATTTCATGTCTTGTTCATGGAAGCGGTCTAGGCACGCGCATGCCTGGGTCAAAAGCTTCCTGCACCCGGCCGCACCATGGCAGCCAAAAAGAATTGCCTGACACAGGAGAGGGTCACTTGGAGGATTAGTGAGAGCCTTTTGGAGGGAGCAAGAGAAGCTTGGGTAAAAATGGAGGAAGCAATTGGAGGTTTACTTGCTATCGAGAAGTCTTCAGAAGGTGCTGGCCATGTGCTGGCCATGCTTCCCATTGATCCAATTTCCCACGTTTGTCCCGTCGCGTGATGACCCGGCGGAACGGGGATTTCTCCCTGATCTCCATGGGCGGCGGCACATCTCCGAGGCATTTTGCAATTCTGGAAATCATCGGCACGGGATATCCGTCGTATGACGGGATTTCTCGGGACATCGTGAGAATTTCTCTTGGAAGCTGTCACAACCCTTGATCTTCTTCCAATGCAAGCCTGGCAGCACTTCCAAGTGCCATCAGAACGAAGCCGCCCAACGGGCCGCAACGGGCCGTAACGGGCGTTACCCGTACGGCGATCCACGTGATCATGCCAGGTCTCCGTACCTAGAGCATCAGGACGTACCGTGGAGAGGGAGGTTGACGAGGGACTCTACAGGTCTGTTGGACCTCATTTGACTGGACGTGGACATACAAAACACGACTCATATGAGATAAAAGAGAAGGTTTGGACCTGGGTCGGACTGGACTTGTAGGGAATTCTCAGAATTGGGTGGAGCAAGTTGTTTTTTCACATCTCTTCACAGGGCTGTTGGGCTGTTGAGAGATCTTACTTGCCTTGAAGCCGCTGGATTCTTCTTGCCGGTGGGATGGTGCTTGGAAGGGTAAACGTGGGAAGAGAAGCAGCATATAGAAGTCAGTTCGACGATATTTTGACCGACTAAAGGATATTCCTTTTCGGGTCACCTAGTCAGACCATTCTTTTTATCTATCTTTAACTCCCAGGGTGTATACTCTGGAACTAACATGGAAGTGGACAATCACCTGTTTGTAGTGGATTTTCTTTTTATCTATAAGTCTTTGACTCCCAGGGGTGTATATTAGACTCCTTCACTCTCCTTTCTATCTCGTTCTTCTACCCGAGCTGAAGCCGAGCTTCACCGTAATGACCCCTCGGCTCTCGTACCGTACGGAACCGGGGGGAACCGGGGGACCTGAAGACCCACATGACTTGTGCGGCACCGTCCTCTGCTGACTTCGTGCCGACTGACTTCGTGCCTTCTGCATGACGGGTTTTCCTGCTCTCTCCGTGTTTCTCCGGTCACTTGGTGGTGGGCCGAAGTCGTCGCAGCCGACTTCCCGACGGTTCCCTTACTTTCGTCGGTCCGTCGGTCCGCAGTGAGAAGATCCGGCTGGGGGTGAGTGACTGACCTGGTGTTTGATGGTACCTGGAGTTGATCAATGTTCATACAACTCTATACATCAACATCTAGGACCAAAAACATGAACTAGAGGACCAGGGGACTCCTAACATCGACTTCTAACATCTATCAGGACCAGGGGACTCCTTTGGACGGTCGACCTTCCGAACGCGCCCGCGGACGTCCGTTTCGCCGGACGCGAAGGGTCGAAGGTTCGGAGCGGTCGCAAACCGCGGCGAAAGACTGGTCGCCGCTGCTTCCAACGGGTCACCTGGCTGGAGAAGCCTTAGGCCCTATGACTACTAAGAACCAGCAGTCACAAAGGGGTGCTTAATGGAGGTTAGGGGTGCCCATTTTCCACTCACTTAGGGACTAACAACCACCCCTTTGTGACTCCTGGAATATATTAATCTTTTTTTTCTAAGGTCTCCAGACAGGGTGAGCTCAGACAGGAAGTGCGATTGGTTTTCACATCTGTATTTCCGATGGGTGAGGCTAGAGGATGACTCTATTGACCTATCCAACAAAGAGTGGAACATCGGGAAGCTGTTTGTGAAGGAAGGCTGTTTGTTCACGAAGCCATGAAGCGAGGGACCTGGAGAGA